GTGGTAGAGCACTAGCCTTGAGCTGAAGAGCTGAGGGACAGCGCCCAGGCCCAGAGTTCAGGCCCCACGACCGGACCCAAAAAAAAAAAAAGAAATTTTTGGGCTGTAATCCTAGCTACTCAGGAGGCTGAGATCTGAGGATCAAGGTTTGAAGCCAGCCTAGCCAGGAAAGGCCATCAGTCTCTGGGATTCTTACTTCCAATAAACTACTCAGAAAAAGCTGGAAGTGGTGCTGTGGCTCAAGTGGTATAGTGCTAGCCTTGAGCACGAAGAGGCTTAGGGACAGTGCCCAGATCCTGTGTTCAAGCCCCAGAACCAGCCAAAAGAAAAAGAAAGAAAAAAGAGAGAGAAGAAGGAAGGAAGGAAAGAAAATAAATTTATCTTTAGCATAGCTTGCTCAGTTTTTCTTACCATTTGGTAACTGCTCTTGGTTATATTTACCATTTTTGTTAGGATTTTCACCAAAATTCTGAGATGTTTGTCACTTGATTTCTTTGTGATATGCAGATTTACAGGGGTGTTATAAGAAATAATCACTATGTACATAGAGTCGGTGCTGCTCTAGCGAGATATGTGGTCTGGATGGGTGATGCATCAGACCAAATCTTCAGAATGAGTTCAGCTGGTGTGCTCACATGCTGAATCCTCTCAATTAGTTCTTTGGGAGTATGACATTTCACAAAGGCTTTAAGCTTTGTGTTTGACCTATGCTTTGATGATGTATAGGAGCTTTTTACTAACTAGAGGGAGCCATTTAGTAATGAGGTAATTGCCACTCAAAAGAAAGATATGTGCTATGCAGTATGGATCAGTACATAGAGCTTGCACTAAGTAACTCATCTCTTTCTCCACTTGGATTGAGGTCTGTATTATTATTTCTCAGGCCACATTGACACATAGCCAGTGGGTCACACACTTACTTGTAGTCTGTCCGTATTCATGCTCCTATCTGTGTTTGATAGTCTGTTTTCAGGTAAACTGCTTGCTTTCAGCTTTTATTTCTCTTTTCATCATTCCTTTCTTTATATTTCCTCCTTATCCTTAACGGTAGTCAATCCCAACCTTTTAGAATGTAAATCTAAGTGTAAGATGGGAGGAACACTGCCAACAAAAGAAGATGGGTTTTCAGACTTGATCAAAGTCATTGCCAAGCTTCCTACACCTCACATGTCTCTGGTTTTGAGACCTTTCCTGTCAGCCCATTGCACCCGTGTCTCTGATTACCAAAGAGACAGTTTATCCCTAGCCATTAGCTAAGTTGAACTCAGCCAGCATTGCTATAGCAATGTGCAACCAAAAAAGGTAGTATGCTTTTAGTTCTCTGAATGGTCATTAAGTTATAAGTAACTTGTTTCATAGTTTAAATTCTTGTCTCATATATTTCCAAAGGGAAAATACATATACACGAGAAACGTAATATGTTTTAGGGATAGGAGCAAAGACTTATCTCCACCTTTCAAAAACTGGGTACCTATGTATTTTAAAAATGCGCTTTTAAGCATTGACTTGAGCTTTTATCTAAGTCGAATTTTCTCAAACCTTTGAGAACCTTTATTTCTCTTTTCCTTTTCAAAAACACATTATAAGAGAAATTAAACCAACTAGTTGAGAAGAGGGAGGAATTAGCTAGTCAGATGAGGTGGAGAATAGTTGGGTATAAATTACAGATTGTTATCTTAAAGCCTTTTCCCCATTTTCCTTAAATCTTGAGTTTCTTTCTCTTTAGAAGCCAGAGTGAGGGTCCTCTGTTAAATCATGGGATTGTGGAGGCCCTGAGCTCACTTCATCTCCATGTTTCTACACAAGAGCAAACTCAACTCAGTCAGCTGGAGAAGTCTTTTTATATTTGGAACTTTAAAAAGCTCAGTCAATATACTGCCCTAGGTACTCAGCAGAACGCATACCAGGCTTTGTTAGTGGGAAATTTATGTAATGAATATTATATTTTCTTCAATCTTGTCAATTTGAGGTTATCCAGAAAATCTTTTTTATTTCTTTTTAGAATTATTATATTCTAGTCCAGTTTCATTTTTTAAGATCTACAAGTCATTATTATAAATCTGTCTTCTCCTTGTAAAATAGTAAATGCAGACAAACTATGAAGATTGTACCATGTATCTGTTAATATTGGGAATTCTCCCAGAAATTATTTTGAAACCCTTGTGTTACCCATTTTTGAGTATTCCTTCTTTATTACAAAAGTAAAATAGCAGGGGATAGTAAAGGGTTTATGTTGTATTTCTAGGTTGTATTAACTAGGTTGTATTCTTTGTGCCTTAGGAAAGTGAAATTCCATATTTTTCTCCCTTAGGAGAGCTCAAGTATAGCTAGCTGATCATCACTTTCTGTTTGAAGGTCCTATCACTCAGATCATAGAATGCAGTACTAGGTTGGTTCCTGTAGGAACTACTTACTGTGTTGTGGTCACAGGCTAAACTCAAGATTCCTGCCATGTGGGGCACAAATGTTGGCTACCATTTGATCAAGCTTCAAGAGAATCTATATAGACTGGTATAGATTTCTTAGGCTTTAAACAGAAGCCTAGTGTATTTTCTATGAAAGGTAGCTCATTTCTTCTCTTTTCAGTTCTTGTAAAATGAGAGTAAGAGTGGCTCACTTGAAAGAGTGAGTGTGTGGAGGGGTGAATCAAGGAGCACAGGGCCTTTCCCTCTCACACTCTCCCCTGGGCCTTCCTGGAGTTAGTCTCTTCCCACTGATTCCACAGTTCCAAATGGAATGCACACAGTGGTCTGGTCTTAAGCACAGATGGCTTCTTTTTGCCTTGGTTCTCCCTTCTAGGTATGCTTTTCCATCCTTTCCAGACTTAGAAACTGATCACCAAATCCCAACTTGAAGCCTGTTGCACCTGTGAAATGGGTGGTGACCTGGGAAGCAGGAGATTTTGAAAATTCCACCAATGATTCTGATGATTACTAGGGCTGAGATGCAATAGGCCATCGCATTCTTACCATACTAGTAATAGTTGCATTTATTGAATGACCGTGTGTTATTAGTTTATAAGCTGCTAGAAAGTAGATAAGGAAACAAAATTCAAACACTTGCCAGTTGGTATGCTGAGGGTATTACATGTGTATCTCATTTAATCCTACCAATAATGCAGATAGTTACCTTCCTAGTTATAATCGAGAAAACTGAGATTTGGAAAGGTTAAGTAATTTGTCTGAAGCCACACAAGCACGTGGTTTGAACCTGTGTTTTTTATTCTAGAATGAATGTTTAACTGTTCTTTTAGGTTTGGTTCCCTTTTTTATGACTTCTGGTTACCACATTGTTTGGTTAAGTGAAGCTTAATATTTTTGCTAGGCACTTGGCATTATTTAGTACTTGTTTAAGTTCATCTTACTGATGGCCCCTCTAGCCTTAGTTGTCCTTCATTGTTAGGTGGTATGATATTATTATGTTATAATGCACTATGTTGTAGTATGCATAAAATGGCTCTGAAATTTAAACTCCACCTTTCATATTTGTGACTATGATAGCTTAGTCAATTTATTTGTCACCCTTGAGACTCAGTGTCATCACTTTTTCAAATAAAGTTGCAAGTTGATCTGAGAATTTAATGAAATAAGTTGTATCAAAGAGATGAATATAAAAATAAAATTAAATTAAAAAAAGAGATGAATATAATCAGAGGAAATAGTAATTAAGTTTAGTCATTTTCTTATCTGTCTTTTTTGTCTTCCAAGCTGTTAGCTATATTATTAAATTGATGGTCACAGTTATGAATGCTTTTGGCTTTTTTTAAAATATAAGGTTTTTTTTTAATCTTTAAGTTTTTTTAATCTTTAAAGTTTGGTACTTCTTTGAACCAAACTGAATTTTTTATAAATGTTCTTGAATATACAACTTGAAGTACTACTTTTGCCATTTTAAGCTATCTTTACTTAGGTTTAATATGGTACTGAGAATGAGCTGTAGATGGTATTCAAAGAGAATTGCATGGCCTAATCTTAGTTCTTTAAAAATGTGTAGCCTAGAATGTCACCTAAGCTGTCTTTTTATCTTTATTTATCAAAACAAACATCATTAGAGCAAAATCAGAAACCTTGCTAATGGTGACATAGGAACTCTTTTTTTCATACCATTAACTCTCAGCTATGCTACAGTTTCATGGAAGGAGATTAAATTATTTGCGAAGACTTGTTGAAGTTGCTTATGGTGCTTTGTGGGTATATGCCCTAAGTAAGACTCCCTTAGGAAAACGTCCTTTTGCCTGGGGACGCACTGACTCACTTAGTCCTTAGCACTATTGCTATTTAAAAGCTCTGATTACTGCCTGATATACTTCTCTCTCCCCCTTTTTCTTTTCTTCCTAGGTCAGTAAAATTGTGTCAAATGTTCCTCAGTTGGAGTTTCTAAACCTGAGTTCCAACCCTCTGAATTTGTCGGTTTTAGAAAGAACATGTGCTGGGTCCTTCTCTGGGGTTCGAAAACTTGTCCTGAACAACAGCAAAACTTCCTGGGAGACAGTCCACACGCTACTACAGGAGTTACCAGAGTAAGCCCAGAGAGCATGGTGGACAGAGAGCTATGTTGCCATCTGTGTTAGCACATAGAATTGTTGCTGATCTCCCAGCTCAGAAATACTAGAACGGCAGTTTGTATGGAAAAGAGGTTAGAAAAATGAAGTATTCAGAATGAGAATGTGAGAATAACCTGGTAGCATTTCTAGTGGAAGACCTGTTCAGTGTTGAGTAGACGTAGATGCGGGATGTGGCATCCTTCAGCTGGAAAATACCCCTGAGACACAGAAGCACTTCCAGATCAACTCAGCCTTCTTCCATTTTAATCTTCTGATTACCTGGTTTGAGAATTTTGAGCTCCTTTCTTTGGGAGGTAAAAATAATCATTTACTTCCAAGTTAACATTCAGATGAGTAAAAGCCCCTATGGCCTGATGGGCAAGTAGATTGGTATTCATTTCAACAATTTAAGACACAAATTAAACTTTTGTTTGTAAGTTTAGAAATGTTTTCCTTATTGTTGCTAGGAATATATGTGTGCAGAGGAAGGAGTTTAATGAAACATAAAAAGCTGTAGTTTCTTTGTCCAAATTCTTTGCACATCTTAATTTTCACTCTCATGCTAATGAGATTTCCTCCCTGCATACAGCATATAGCTTGGCATTGAATGAGCTTGTAAATCTAGGTCATACTAATGGTGACCTTTGACAAGCTGCTTAACTACTTTTAGTTCAGTTTCCTTGTCTGTAAGGTAGGCACAGTTATATGGATCTTGCAGAAATAGAAGTACACTCTATTATGTCCCTGGCATAGGATCTGACACAGGGTAGGGATTCAGTAGTTATCATTTCTGTTCATAAATATTTGTTCATTTTTCTGGAATTTTTTCTTCCATCTCAGCATCTGTGAGCTCACCTCTCCTAAAAGTCCATGCATTCTTTCCTGGCTGTTCAAACTACAACTTCAGATTCCTTCCTTATGCATCACTATTGTACTTAGAATTGGTACTGCTTAATTTATCACTCAATTGCTTAAGCACAAAATTAATTTAGTACTAGCTTATCTCATTCTAATGTTTTACATTCTTTAGGTTTTGTCAGCCTAGCCTACCAAGTATTTTGAGCTTCAAGAAGATATCCTTCTATTTGCCCTATAGTGTCTACCAGAATCTGACATATACTAGGCACTCATTTATCTCTTGAATGTGTGAAAATAGATGTAAAGAAGAAACTAAGCTGCTTGAAGCAATGAAATGTTTCCTTTCTTCTCTGCAGTTTGGAGGAGCTTTTCCTGTGCCTTAACGACTATGAAACAGTGTCTTGTTCTTCTACTTGCTGTCATTCTCTTAAGCTCCTACATATAACAGACAACAACCTGCAGGACTGGACTGAAATCCGGAAGTTAGGAGTTATGTTTCCTTCCTTGGACACCCTCGTGCTGGCCAACAATCACTTGAATGCTATTGAGGAGCCAAATGATTCCCTGGCCAGGTTGTTTCCTAATCTGCGATCCATCAGCCTCCATAAGTCAGGTGCGGAACAGCCTTGGTCTCATTCTATATGCAAATTGATTTGAGCTTACATGGGCAGTAGATTTCTTTCAGTCATAGCTAAACTTTTTATAGGATGAATTTTCTACATGATACACCGAGACCTATAGAACATTGTCCTAAATGCTCTGATGAATATAAAGTAATATAGCATATTAGCAATTTATATTTTATACATTAAAAAGGTCATAATTTAAAAGGAGTGAAATGAAAGTGATGAATTGGATAGTTAAAAAAGAGGAGCTAATAAAAGAATTACAAATTAGATCATTTTATCTGGACTTGAGGTAAGTAATTTCAATGTCTTGTGACCTTTCAAATGCTCACTTTTCTAGTTACTCTATATAATTGATTGTTAGTTTATTGTCAGCTGATCTTCATTATCATAGAGATGCATATATTTAGCCCATTTCTTTATTAATACTTTTTTTCAAAGAATAATTAATTTAGGCCAGGTGCTAGTGGCTCACATCTGTAATCTGAGAAACTCAGGAGGCTGAGATCTGAGGATCACAGCTGGAAGACAGGCCCAGGCAGAATAGTCCATGAGACTCTTATCTCCAATTATGAACCAAAAGCTGAAGTGGAGCTGTGGCTCAAAAGGTAGAGTGCTAACTTTGAACAAAAGAAGCTTGGGGACAGTGCCCAGCTCTAGAGTTCCAGCCCTCGGAGCAACAGGAAAAAAAAAAAAGAAAAGAATACTTTTAGGTCCACAGCGAACTTGAGTAGAAGGTGCAGATATTTCCCATGTACTTGCTGTTCCCATACAGACAAGCAATCCCACTGTCAACACCCCACTCTGAAGTGGTATCAACTACATTGAAACATCACTGTCACTCAGACCGTAGTTTATATTAGGGCTCACTCTCAGTGTTATGTATTCTATGGTCTTTAACAAATAGTAACAGGTACCTGCCCTTGTAGCATTGTACCGAATTGTCTCAATGCCCTAAAAATCCCCTGTGTTAACCTGGCATCTTGGATCCTTTGTCTCTGTACTTTTACTTTGTCAGGATGTCCTGTATTTGGAGTCATATCATACTATGGAGCCTTTGTAGATTGGTTTATTTCACTTAGTAATATGCATTTTAATTCACTAGATCTTTTCATGGCTGGATAGCTTTTTTTCTTCAATCCCTGAATTAAGAATTCCAGTTTTCTAGATGTACCACAGTTTATTTATCCTTCCCCTGAAGACTCTTGGTTGCTTTCAAGTTTTGGCAGTTGTGAGTAAAGCTTCTATAAATATCTGTGTGCAGAGTTTTGTGTGGATGTAGGTTTTCAACTCATGTAGGTAAATACTAAGGGCATGATTGCTGTAAATTATGGTAAGAATGTACTTAGTTTTGTAAGAAATTGCCAGACTGTCTTTGAAAGTAGCTGTACCACTTTACATTTCCACCAGTAATGAATGGTTGCTCTACTGCTCTTCATGCCCTTGTCAGCGTTTGATGTTGTCAATATGTTAGGCTTTGACACTGATTTTAATAGGCACATGGTGATACATCACTGTTGTTCTGATTTGAAATCCCCCTATGATACATAGGAATAAGAATCTTTTCATACTACTTACTTGCCATCTCTATGTCTTCTTTGATGATGTGTCTGTTTAGGCATTTTGTACATTTTTGTTGCATTATTCATTTTCTTATTATTGAGTTTTGAAAGTTCTTTATGCATTTTGGTTCACAGTCCTTTAGCAAATGTCTCTTTTGCAAACCAAAACATTCTTCCAGTCTAACTTTTACTCTCATTCTGTTTTTACTCTTTTTTTCTCCTCCACTGGTGATTGAGCTCAGAACCTCATGATTACTAGCCAAATGCTATACCACTTGAGCTACAACACTGGTCCTTTTACTTTTTTTGTCTTTTACACAAGATCTCACACTTTTGCCAGAGCTAGCCTCCTTGTGTGTACCTCCTAAGCAGCCATGGTTACAGATGTGAGCCACTATGTTTGGGCTATTTCTGTCCTCTTAATGCTATTTTTCATCTTATTTCTTAAGACAATTACATATAAATAAAATAACTAACCTGTAGCTGAAAATTATAACTTAGTTTGCTTCACCATAGAAGTTATGAGTGAGAAATCAATTTTAAAGTCAGTATGTTGTATGGGGAAGTTTATTTCATAACTTAATACCCCTTGATCTAATTTTATTCTTGAGTCTAGGTGAAAATGGCATTGTCAGGAGGAGACAGTCTGACCTAGACTGATTGTGTCATAGCAACCTCAGCATTGTTCCTCTGCCTTTACCTTTGCTAAAGGTCAATAGAAATAGGACAGGACTATGTTGTTCTCTGAAACAGATTTCCTTTGTCACAAAATTGACCAGCTTAATCATTTTAGGAATATTTTTTCTCCTTGGAAAGCCTGCCTGACACAGTCAAGTGTTGATATGGTTGACCATTTGCTCACCACCATTATTTTAGGACCTAAAATCTTATTGTGTGTTCTCCTTACCCAAAGGTTTAGATTTTTGGCTTTTGTTTTTTTTTTTAAATGATTTTGATCCTTTCTATGTCACTAAAGTGAAAACATTACAAAAGTGATCAGTTTTAGTTTTGATTCTTTTGACTTTCTCCCATTTTAGAATACATTAGATAAAATTTTGATATGTCAATATTAACTCTGACCAGTAGTCACATGCCAAGAGTTCCTAAAATGAGTTGGCCATTTTTAAAATTATGTGCTCATGTCATGCCCTGTGCTTATTGGCACCAACATGGCTCTGACTCCACGCCGTTTTGATAGAACCAGGAGATAAGAAGATACTGGAAATAAGGTTCTTTCTCCCTTTCCACTGTTGGTTTTAGTTTTTGAGATGGAATATCACTATATTGCACAGGCTGGCCTTGACTTTGAGAACCTCCTGGCTCAGTAGCTGGGACTTCAGGCTCCTACCACCTTGCATATTTTTCTGACAAAGTCTTTATGTATTTAATTTTATTCTTAGATAGAGGAAAATGGAGGCTCTCTATTATCATATTGGATTTTAAGAGTCATTGAAATTTTTTTGCTATGTTTATCTTTTTATTGGTATACTTTTGGGGGGAGTTACTTAAACTGTATCTTTCTCAAATTAGGTTTGCAATCCTGGGAAGACATTGACAAATTAAATTCATTCCCCAAACTTGAAGAAGTGAGATTGCTAGGAATTCCTCTCCTGCAGCCGTACACCACTGAGGAGCGGAGGAAGCTGGTAATAGCCAGGTGTGTTGTCCTGATTTCTTCTGCTTTCTTTTCACAGAGCCCTGTTGTTCTTTTGAGGGTCCATGTGCTATATATATGGTGGGGGAATGAACTAGGAATTTAGCTCTTGAGCAGGCTGTCTTTGAATGAGCTGCTTCTGTAGCTCCCAGTCCTGAGCAAAAAGAACATATTACAATCAGGAAAATGTGAAGTGCAGTTGTCTAGCTGAGCCCACAGAACAATTTCTTCACAAATCTCTTCTGTTTTTATGCTTTTGATACTTATTTGAACTTCTATTTTGGGCCACAAAGTAAAAGTCAATAGAATGGAGAATCAGGGCTGGAAACATGGCTTAGTGGTAGAGTGCTTGCCTAGAATGCTTGAAGCCCCAGTTCTACATAAACAGAAAAAGTCAGAAGTGGAGCCATGGCTCAAGTGGTAGAGTGCTAGCCTTGAGCAAAAGAAGGTCAGGGACATTGTCCGGGCCCTGAGTTCAAACCCCAGGACTGGCAAAAAAAAAAAAGAAAATTATTTCTGTTTTAGTTGTCCTTATTTTTGTTGTCCTTTGTTAACTTAGTAATCATGCGGTGGAGATACCTGGAAATTGGGTAATGTTAATATGATGAGTGTCCTCTTGAATATTCAGCCCCTGACCTATGATCACTGTTGTTGGTATCTTCTTCCTCTGCCTGCCTTGTCTTTCATGTCACAGATGCTGCCTCTACCAACTACTTGATTCTCCCATAAATCTGTGTTTTTATATGAACCTTTAACAGAAATAAGATTTTCCAAAAATGTAAAAGGCTATGGAGCTTTGCTTGTTTTCTTTGTACACTGTACATGGTATTTGTGTGTGTGTGTGTGTGTGTGTGTGTGCGTGTGTGCGCACACACGTGTGTGCACAAGCCAGTCCTGGGCCTTAAACTCAGGGAAGGCCTTGAACTTTTTTGCTCAAGGCTAGTGCTCTAACACTTGAGCTACAGCCTCACTTCCAGCTTTGTGTTTGTGTGTATGTTAATTGGAGATAAGAGTCCCACAGACTTTCCTGCCCAGGCTCACTTTGAACCAGGATCTTCACATCTCTAGGATCACGGGTATAAGCTACCAGTGCCCAGTTTGTACACAGTAGTTTTGAAAGAGGAATAGTAGACTTTAAGGTTCTCTAAAGAAGAGTAATTCTTAAAATGAGGTGTTAACCTTTCTGACCAACAAATATCCCACAGATCCTCACTGATTTGCTCATTTATACATTAACATCTCACTGAAGAAGGAAGCATCAGCACACTTACTTTTAAGACAATGAGTCTTTTCATTGTATTTTCTTACATGATTCTTTTACAAATATAATAAATTCCTGGATTATACAACTATTATACTAATACTCTAAACATATGCTGTTTAGTATGGCAGTCACTAGCCAATTGTGGCTATGTTCACTTATGATTTGTCTTGTAGGATTTCAAATGTGCTATAAGTGCAAAATACAGACTGGATCTCAAATAATTCATATGTAAAGAATAGAAAGTAACTCATTATTTTAAAATATTGATTATATGTTCAAATGATAATACTCTGGATATATCAGTTTAAATAAAGTTATAATTAATTGTTTATAAGTAATGCTTTACTTTTAAAACTGAGGCTTTGGGGTGATTTTAAATTTATTGGTATTATATTTATTTAAATTGTACTGTGCTATCTAGGATCTTATTTTGAAATATGGGATGTAATCATGAAAGGCCAGTATCACATCTAAAAATAAGACTGGATTTTCCTGATTATTTTATATAATTTCAGTTCATGTTAGTAATTATGTACAAAGAAAACCACATCAAATATGTCCTTTCAAAAGAAGTAGACTGGGTCTGAAGTCAGTTGGTTTTTTTATTTCTAAAGCTAAATGGTTTTAGTGTCTTGAAATGTCTTTATTTTGCTTTGAACTTACAGATTGCCGTCAGTTTCCAAACTTAATGGCAGTGTAGTTACCGATGGTGAACGAGAAGATTCTGAGAGGTTCTTTATTCGTTACTATGTGGATGTTCCACAGGAAGAAGTGCCATTCAGGTAAACACCATCTCTCATTAGCTCAGCAGAACACTGCCCAGTGCTGAAGCAAACTAACAGCACTTGTTTTAGGGCAAAATTGCATCATTTGTTAGGGGATTCTTCTCAGAGGAAAGAAAAGGAAAAGGAAAAAACATAAAAGCGGACCTACTTTACCTCTTTTTCCACAGTGTACTGCTTGTAGTCTTATATTAAGGATGATTGAGTGTTTGACTAATCCAATAATTCCCACTCTATACTTCACGCCATCAATTCCCTTTCTTTGCTCTTCTGTAAGAGCACTTCCTCACCTACCCCTAAGATTTGTCTCTTCATCTGTAGTACATCTGATTTTAGGCTATAGGCTATGTTTTAGAATTTAGAAGTCTTAACAAATGAGAATTAAGTACATAGAATATGAGACAACGACCAGAAAATAGATCTTTGAGGCAGTATTAAATTAAGATGGTTAAGTGGAAGAGAAATTCTGGGAGCTAAATTAGAAATTATATAAACAGTTGAGATGTGTCATTTTGCTGATACTGTTAATATTCTACACAGTTTGTAAAAGGAGTATCAGATGTGATAGAGGCAAATCCCCAAGGATGAAAAACCTCTGAAAGCATGTTTCTAGTGTTGGCAGCTAGACTTGGTTATCAAAAAAGTTACATATGGTCCTTGTTTAAGACTAAACTGGGCATTATAATCCATGCCTATAATTCCAGCACCTGAGTAGCAGGACAGGAGAATCCTAAGTTCCAGACAAGCCTGGGTTATATGATAAAACTTTGTCCCAAAAAACAAAAGCAACAATTAAAATGAAAAGCTGATGGATTAGACTATGAAGAAAGAAGTCAAGGATGACTATAAGGTTTTTGTCGAGCAACTGGAAGGATGGAGGGAAACTTGCAGAGAAACAGATATGGCTCTGAAGGATTGGGTCAAGAAGGGTATCACAGCCAAAGTTTGCTTTCAGACACACTTTATGTCAAGATTCAGAAGACAGTATCAAGAAAGGAATTGTAAATACAAATCTGGAATTTAGGGACAGGCAAAATCTGACAGTTGTTAAAATAAAGAAGACATTTAAAGCCACAAGATTGACTAAAGGTGTGAAGAGGATGTATGCCAAAAGGAACAGGTCTAAGGATGAAGGCCTGGGATTAACTCAACCTTTAGAGATTAAGAACACAAAGTAGATCCAGCCAAGGAAATGTGCAAGCTTCTTGAATGTAGACACTACTCTTTTGTCCTTTAATCTCCAGTTTCTAGTCCAGTGCTTCTTGGTTTATAGTAGGTATTCAGTAAATAAATTAAACTGTCCTCGCCAATGCAACTAGAATCTAGACTTATTTCCTGGAAGTTCTCCTGGTCAGGCAGAAGAGCCCAGTAATGGAAATATGAGCAGCCCAGGGAGAAGCTCTTTTCAGTCACCTGCAGCTCACACTGCACTTTCTGTGAAATAGCACACCACTGCTACAGAAGCCACTGAGGGACAAGGCATGGCAGAGGCGTTGAGAGACTATTGACTGCAAAAGCAAACACTGTGGTGTTCAAAGGCCAAGATCAGAAAACAGAAGCTTTCACCTTTGGTTGTTTCACAAAGTAAATAAAAGTGATTATTCATTTTTACTAGAAGGAGCTATTGCTTGGAGGCTAAATTTCTAGCCTTATCAATCAGTACAAGGCTTTAAAGAGGGTAATTGAACACCTGTAACTCTTACACTTATACAACACAGTTAAAACACTCAAGTGTGTCTCCTTTCAGTCCCCTAAACATTTTATTCTGGAATAGAAAAACAGAATATATAACTCTCTGGATCACCCTTAAAGACTTGCTTTGACAAAACAACTAGTCATATGGAAACAGTGCAAATAGTCCATGTAGCCTGCAAAATAACTTTGCTACCATAAAGGATGTTTAACTAATCGCAATGACTGTCTTTATGCCCTCAAAGACAATTTGGATAACTTAATTATGTCTAAGTAAAGGAGCTGTTTTATGTTTAATTGACACGGGAAAATGAAAAGAGGAGGAAAAGCTCAGGGAACCAAGTTAAAGGAAGGTTTGATGGAAGTTAGCAGTTATAGGAAATTCAAGTTAAACACTTACTTTTTAAATGTAATCTTTTCTCCAAAATATGTTTCTTCCACCCTTCCTAGAAACTAAGGCTCAAATTAATTTTATATGAGACACTCAATTATAGAGTCAAGATTTTACCTTTTAGGGCTGGGAAGGTGGCTCAGTGGTAGAGCGCTTGCCTTGCATGCCTGAGGCCCTGGGTTCGATTCCTCAGCACCACATAAGCAAAAAGAAAAAGTTGGAAGTGGTGCTTTGGCTCAAGTGGTAGAGTGCTAGCTTTGAGCTGAAGAGCTGAGGGAGAGTGCCCAGGCCCAGAGTTCAGGCCCCACGACCGGACCCCCCCCTCCAAAAAAAGGATTTTACCTTTTAGTAACTCATTTGTTAATATTTTGGGATCCAATTGTACATGTAATTTGGAAGACAAAAAAGTATAGTACTAATAATCCTTTTAGATGTCACTTCCTAATTCACAACTAATAAATTTTAATATGTATTTCTGTGTTATTCATCACTTCCTATTGCCATCAGCATGACAGCTATCATAGTTCCTTTGTAATTTCTATACATAGTTCCTGGCACCTTACAAGGGCTCAGGAAATACATGCTGATTAGTAAATAAATCCACTGCAGGATTTACATTAAAAAGTACAAGAGACCAAGTATCACAGTGGATACAAAGTACCTTTTTAGCCAACTTTGGCTGTCAATGAATGCCTGTCTGACAGGGAGCGGGGAGTGGGTAGAGGAACAGAACTCAAGATATCTGAGATGAAGGAGCCTGAAAGGAGTTCAAAAAAAAGGAACAAATATTTTCTTCTCCACTCCCTAAAAGCTAGAACATAGGCAAAATGACATAAACCTACAGTTTCAAATCTGAAGTACAATACATAGTGTCTACTGAGATTATTATCAACAGCTGTGGAAGAGTCATACATCCAAAGATGAGCTGTAAATGTCTGATGACTGTCTAAGGATCAGTGTCAGAAGCATACTGTTAGAATTCTGAGACATAAAACTTGTGGCTGTGCCTTGCTTCTCATCCATCCTGCCCTAGCCTAATCTTGTCAATTCTATGAACCTCACAGCATCCATTACTCTTTTACTAAATGCCTATCCTACTTAAGTTGATCAGAGCTCATTTGGTTGTTGGCTCTGGGAAATTAGCAGTAAGAAATAAATTGTAGATAGCAGACCCTCTGGCAACTAAGGGCAAGTTGAGATTAGTTTCTGGCCTAGCAGGGGCCAGTAAAAATCATATTATTGTTCATGGAAAACCTCCTGTAAGTTCTTTACCTGGAGGAGAGAAATAACAAATCAGCACACATGGTCATGTGAAAGACTCCCAGTGATTGAGAGTGCTATCAAGAACAAAGGGCATGAAGAACTCAAAGCCACAAGGTAGAGCATCTGCTATTCTGTCAGAATGAGAGCTTAAATAAAAGGAATACTAAAGTTGTGTTCCTATACACTATGTCTAAATGTAGATTGGAATCTATGGTAGAAAGAAACATACACAGATTGAAATCTAGATATTAAGAAAAATCTCTTTTTTCCTGGGAATGATACCTGTAATCTCAGCACTCTGGAAGCAGAGGCAGAAATGTAAGTTTGAGGCTAGGTAGGGCTGCACTCAAATAACTCTTTACTTATGTCTGTTGAACAACAACAACTTGATAGATTAATAAAAAGGGGTGGGAAGTACTGGCATGCTGATCATGAGGAAAGTAGGAGCTAGTTCAGGCTGTGAAATACTCAGTTATGGCATTCTGGGAGTCAGGGCGTTTTCCAATAGGCAGTAGGAAATCAAAAGTTTTAAAGAGAGCGATTACATTATGGGGGTGGGGTTTGGTGGTGATTGGTGAGGCAAGGGGGACCTGGAGACCTGGGTGATGCCCAGGATGTTGGGAGATGGTAAGTGTGCTGCAGGTTGCTTATTCACCTTAGAGCAGTGCATGATGGGACTGGACTCAGCAGAGCATTCAGCCCTAAGAAAACTGTACTTCCACCCATTTCCTGATATAGATAGCCCTGGTTTCTCTCGAGGTATATAAGTATCATTCGGAGAGGAAGAGACCTCCACGCTTATGATTCCAGGACGTTTATTATTTCTGACTTGCCCTTTATCAGACGCCTGTCCACATTGCCTCTAGTTATCAGTTTTTCCTTTATGTCATGTTTGCTGTATCTCTCCATTTCCTGTGAGAGATTGAATTTAAATTGCTTCTTTAGTACTAAACTAATATACAGCCTCTTCTGTTTAATTTTAAAGAGAGAAAAGGAAAAAAAAGATGCAAATTTTCTTTTAGAATTCAACATGTCATGGATTTGGGGCTCAGTGATACCTTTTTTGTTCATCAGCACAGTGTTGGGAAGCAAATGCATTTTAGTTTGACATATCTCATCTTCCAGACCTGAAAACCTGCTTTTCATAAAGAGGAGTTAGATGAGACCTACCTCAGGTTAGTGGAGACTTGATGGAAGGAAGAAATGCTGTCATGAGAGACAGAGTGGCAACGCCAGAAATGGGTCTGCCTTTATGCTTCTCACACTGTGTCCTGAAAACCCTTCTTTGTGATACCCAGAATTCCACAAGACATTTCCCACATGCTCATTTGTCATTCGTGGTATGCTTTTCAAAGTGTGGAGAGTGTGTTTCTTCCTGCTTCAGGCTAATGGCTTTTCTAAGTTGGGTTGATTGTATCTCCATGTTATTGAGAGAGCAGGGCAGCGGCTCAGATTTGGATGCCACCCCAGAGAAGGCCTGTTTTGTCTCAGATGCTGGAGAAATTCTAGTGTGCTGTGTCCTTTACCTCACACTCCTTCCAGACAAGGACCTGCTGTTGTGCAGGCGCGTTCCTCCCATGGACACCGGTCTCCTGGGGTTCTCTTCATTGCCAGGCTCCATCATCCCCTGACAGGGCCATGACACAGCACTCCA